TATTATAAATATATTTTTAAAATTGAGAAGGAAATCGTTATATTCATTTTTCACTTGACGAGAGAGAGTTAGAAATTTTTTGTACAAATGTATGTAGCGAGGAATATATCGCATGAATATTTCAAAGTAGCGCCAAAATTCGTATGTACAAAGTGCTAAAAATATTATATATTTCAAGTATTAATAATATACCATCCTGCGAAAAAAAACGCGCAACAATACGCGAATTTTATCCATGATGAGAGGCGAAAAATGGCCTATTAACGAGAGAAGGAATCCACGAGAGACACAAGTGGATAAAAGAACCGTGTTAACGAGGTAGCTGGCTCTCTTCTTATCTTACGCGAATGTCGAGCGAGCGCTGATAAATTCGAGCTCAGTTGCGTTGTCTCGAGCAGCAAAAGGACGAAGAAATACTAGAGAAGTTGAAATATTTGGCACGAAAATTCCGTTTGGAATGTATAAAGAAATTCTCCCGAATTCGCTCGTTTATGTCCAAGAGTCTACACGGACCGGCCATAAGATTGTACTTCATGTGACATTCAACGCATTAAAGATATTTCGACACGGTTTTATCTCGTCCCCGAAAGCAACACTCAACAAGAAATTTTGTTCCATCTCTCCATCACATTCTATTTTACCTTTGCCTCACATTTATTAGACCGTATGAGAGAAGAGACGCGCGGGATCTCCCAATTATCGGCGCAAGCTTCCCTTGGTCGCAAATTAACGGCAAGTTGGCGGCGGCGACTACGAGTTTGACCGCGCGCAAGCATCGAATGGTTGTGCGATAGTTATCCGAGCAACTTTGCCGAATGACTTTGATAACTGCCATCGTTAAGGCGAGTGTCTTCTTATTGGCCGTATCCTTCGGCGGTTGTCATGACGGCATATGTCGGATATTAGTGTAATTGGTATCTCGGAACAAAGACAATTTAGCTATTATTGGTTTATACTCGAACTGGGTATAACGAACACGTGCACGCATCTCGGTAAATTCGATAAATAATACTAATTGCGTATTTATGATTCGATGACACGACAAAAGCAAACAAGATATAACGATGCCATTATTTACACATACATATACCTTACATATTTGTTAAAAATGAAAGATATATTTCTTATCATATTTTGGATATAATAATTATAAAAAGAATTATTTTACAATTATTACAGTAAATTATTGTAACATTAGAATTTCGAGAAAAAATGTATTTAATTCATCTTTTATTGATATAATAGGCTGGAAAGTTATCGAACAAGAAACTACATGATTTAGTAATATCTTAATTTTCTTGCACTCTTGTCATAATCGAGGAACGTTAGTTACATAAAGGTGTGTATGCACGTCAAATAAACTTGCGAAGTTTGACAGTGATTCAATTGCCTTATAAGCCACCGTTCGATACGTCATTCGTTCATATAAGCTCACTATTAATTTCCGAGACATGCCACATAATCATATACCTACGGTGGCGCGCGCCCCGCACAGGGCTAACGTGACCAAGCGAATTAGCTGTTCGTAGTCGTGTCGTGCGATTGGCGCGTCGCGCGACGTTCACGTGACTGAGCGAATTAACTGTTTGTCATTATATCGCGCGATTTGCACGTCGCACGCTCGCGCGACTCACGTGACTAGGCAAATCAGCTGTTTGCTGTCACCTTGCACGACTTGCGCATCGCGCGATTTGCGCGGCGCATTCGCACGTATACATTATTAATTGATATAATTTTGATGATTTGGACAAATGTAATTACAAATGCAATATTTTTTAAATATTTTGTGAAAAAAATTTTATACACTTATGGAAAAAATCACATTATTATCATAATACAATTCAAATAATCTTAATACATCTATACATATATTTTAGTTTATTACATATTAATTACTTATTAGCTTCTTGCATATTAGCAATTACATATTCTAATTCTACAACTTTATGTAAAAATAGATTTATATTTTATATTGTTAAAAATTCAATATTCGGTTAAACTCATGGAAGGACTCTGAATGAAAGGACGATTAATCCTCAAATAACATTCAATGGAATATAAGAATATAAATTCTGTTTTCGAACGATTAAAAAGATTATGCAAATTATGCGTAACATCGGGTTCAAATTCCTTTCAGCACTTCTTATTCACAAATCTTTATTGCGCCCGACAAAATGTGATACGTCTCATCGCCGTGTAGCCAGAGAGAATTCTATTACATGTTGAAAATGTTCCAGGTCCCATTCTACCCCGGAGGAAGGAACAGGATCGTGCAAAGCGGAGAGAGAGAGAGAGAGAAAGAAAACGTTGAGAAAAGAAAAGAAAGCAAAGTCTTCTCAGCAACGGCAGGAGCAGTAGCAGCTATAGCAGGTATGTAACATAAAAATTTAAGACTATCAGGCGAGCTAGTGCCGTTCCCCTAACAATAGCGACATCAGTATTTAGCTCCGGGGTAGAATATATATTTTTCTTTTGCGAGCGGAATCATTCGGGAAACGATGGCGGGACTGCCGTCAAATGAGACGGAGAACCGTGGATAAAGAGAAGAGCGCAAAGGGGAAGGGGGTGAGCAGGAGAGAAACCGTGATGGGGACGATGGAAACACGCTGTGGAAAAATAAGAATTTCAAATCCAATTTTCCGAGGCATATTTAATAGGCATCCCTCCGCTGCCCGCCATCACCCTCGACCCGATTTGTGAGCACCCTTTCCGTCGCTCCGTCCATCGTCTACGGTGGAGTTTGCCACCTCTAGAGTCCCTCTCCGCCGCCGAGAAAATGAATAATTGAAGAATACATTAAATTAGGTGGGGGGACGCGCGAAGAGGGAAGAAGGGAAGGATTTACCGGCAGCAACTTTTCCGCTAGCTTTTACTCCGCTTTAGGTCGCGAATCACCGCTTGCGATTCGGGATGAATGCGCTCGGCGGATTACGAAAATCTCATAGATCCCGCTTTCAGATATACTCGCTTGCCCCGAAAATCTCGGTGTTCATAATAGACGCCAACTATTTCTCGATCCTTCTGCTATTACGCTCTTTAAAGCTGGGCTTAATAACGGGCGGGTGTAAACGCGGCGGAATCGATCGATAAGCTAAAGAGAACGCTACGTGGCTGACTAAAGTTTGTGGAATTAACTCGATTCCCCGTTGAATACCGGTGACTTCTAATTGCGCTGCGTCTCGCTTTATGGTAGCGCATGTTTCGAGATCGACATCGGACACGATCTATCTAACCGCACTTGTAAGACGTCGAAAGATACCAAGGCGTATTTTCGTTGCAGCAGAAAAAGAACGGCTTAATGCCTCGAGCTTGACCGACGCTCCTGCGAAGGCTCAATGGTGACGTTAATCGGCTTTTCTAGTAAGTGGCGTATTACTCGAAAGAGATAAATCGAGACGAACACGACTATTCGTTTTGCTCTGCAAGGTTTGTTGCTCGTTCCAATTAGCTGCGATTCTTTGGCTGAAGACTTCAATCAATTTCGCAGAAGACTAGGTCACAGATGCTACCAATTACGTTTCGTCGGCGGTAACGCCATCTTTTTCTATCGTGTCCAGAAAGAAGTGGGGTAAATGATTTTTCTCTCCTTCGGGACCAATGGCGTGGACCGATCGAACGGACGAAAGCCATTTGACGACTTTACTCCAATAATTGTCGTGAGAGCTCGCGACCGTTACGACCTGGTAGTCAAGCATCTGACCCGTTTTTTCTCTCTCTTTCTCTCTACTCTTTTTGCAACAAGCGGCAATAATTTTCTCGACTCGATAAATCCAATACTGTGAAACGACGAATTATTACGGTTAAAGGTGGCCTCGGATCCATTTAACGCCACTTTTGCGAACCGGCGAACCGTATTTGCTACTCCTCTATGGTGGAAAATGTATTATTTAGTCGATCATATACGAGCCTAATTGATCGTGGTATGCGTGTAATTAATCCCACGAGACTGCGCACAGAAATGATATTGATACTCCTCGAAACACGATATCGTCCTTCGACTATGCACTTAGTCTCGCATGTAAGGTATTAGTGTTGGACGGAACTACCAGGTGGTTTTCCTTATAATTAATTATACGTGAGGCGAGTTCCTCGCTGCGACCTGCAAGGCTTCGTCCTGTCTTAGGTAATGAATGGTAGACGGCTTTAATCTCCTTTTGAAACCGCAATTTTTCCGAGGATTTTTTTTTTTTTTTTTTTTTTTTTTTTTTTTTTTTTTTTTTTTTTTTTTTTTTTTTAACTCCATCGGCCCCGCACACTCGTGAGAAAATTCTAGTCCTCGTATTTCAGAGGTAGCCAGAAGATCGGTTTATGCTCTGCTATAAATTTGCAATCGACGTCTATGGACTTCGAATGTATGTATTTGAGCACACAAATTAGTTTCGAGATCCTCGAGCTGATCGAGATCCATTAAAACCATTATTTCGACGACTTGCCGTCGTATTTTTTTTTTTTGAGAAGAACGTTTTTAGTTTTTACTTTTAATTTTTCAATCTCTTATAGATTCATTTATAATGCAAAAATGGGAAAAGGAATGAATTTGTATTTATGTACACATTTTTTTTATTTTAATATTTTAAAAATAATATTTTGAACATTTAATTATTGTAAAGTTAATTAATAAAAAGGCAAAAAATTTATAACAAGTTAATAAAAAAACATAAATAAATAATAAAGAATAACAAAAACAGACTTTTATTATATTTATTCAAAAAACGGGGCTATATCGTGGAAAATACTGATTCCATCTCAATTCAACAATTATAATATTGCTTAATTAAATATCGCTTTGTCACTAATGTTTAAGTTTAGATAAAAAAAACTCGACACAATCGACAAGTTAATTCGCAAAATTTAGAAAATGTTTGTCACACATTCGCAACATTTCCTGTTTTTACTTTGCAGTCACTCTTTTCTGAGTCTCGTTGAATAATGTAGCTGTATCAGACATAACACGCGACACCAAGAGCTGACTATTTATAAAACAATGAATAATCATCGACAGTAACGATGTGTCTGGATGCGTAAAGCAATTACGCTGCAGGTTGTACAATTTATTTTAGTGCGCCGGGGTTCTGCGGTTGTTTCAGTCGGATCAAGCTCCAGTGCTATATAAATTTCGGTCCTTTCAGCTCATTCTTTTTAACGAATGTAAATGTGATATAACGTATGTATTTTTACTCGTGCATTTCTCGCGTTTTATCCTTATCTATTTGCTATTAATTTCATCTGTTGGCGTTTTGTCAAAAACATAACTAGTTATTATTATAAAGTTAATATAATGCTGCAAATATAAGTAGAAGATAATACAAAATTAAGAATAAAGTTAATATTATACAAGTATGCATTTATTATTATAATTATTATTATAATACTTTATTGTCACACATTAATTGTTATTGAAATATGTCATTATAATATTTAGTTCAATTTAATGATGTGCGCGGTTTGGATCATTTTCTCATAAGAATATTGTTGCACTTTATAAGATAGAGATCACATTGCAAAATCTCGAGTTGGCTCGAAAGAATGGATCTGCGGTACGTTAATGCGGACATTTATATAACTATATCTTTTTCGAGCGTTTTTTGTAAGCAGTTACGATCGTTTAACTGGAAGTTGTCCAAACTGGCCAACGAGAAAGGCAGAATGTGAAGGAGGGAGAATAACTTAGAGAACATCCTTCTTTTTCAATTTTTTTTTCTTTTTTTTTTTAGTACGTATAGTGCGCGATCAATTCTCTTGACGCGACTACGGTCATTAGCCGGCCTACGCCAAGCTGCATCATCAGCTAATGTCAGTCGTATATCACGAAATTAAAACGCTGCCAAATCAGTTGATTACAAATTCGCGTTTCGCCCGTAAATACGCTCATCCTTTTCGGAGGCAATTTTTATTTTGAGTCATTGTGTGCAAAGGAATGCTAGAGCTCAGAGTTTTGATAAAATAAAAAGTCCACGAATCTCACTTTGCGCATTTTCACTTCTCGCTGACGGTCTGATGCAACTGCTTTTTTTAAGGTGCAACCAACAGAAATGACTGATTTGCGTGGCACACGCTACGTTGCGCTCTCGCGTTTTCTCGCTCGCTACTTTAAATATACGCAAGAGATGTTAAATGCGCCTCTAGAAAATAATGAGTTCATCGTGAGATGAGTAAAACGTCGAGCAACTATTAACATTTTAATAAGATTCGCGCTCTCACATATTATTACTAACAGATCTATCAGCAAATGCAAACAGATATATTATCAGCGATATACAATTAAGATATAAGAGAATCTTTCATATAAATTGTAATTTTATTAAATTCTGACTTCTCCTCGTGCAGTCACCTCGAGAAATTATTTTAGGAGATGTAATGAACAAAGCGTTATTTTTCATGTTTCCCTCCGGACAAGTTAAATCGTCGCATAAAAATCAAGTGTTCTAGCTTGCGATTTGAACTTGTATTACAATCGGTATGCGTCGCAATAATCGTTGCCGTAGCGTCTAACGACCCACGAAAGCACGAGGCGACCAACGAGAACCGACTTCATTTTACGGCATCACGAAACTTTCAAAGTGGTGACCCAGAAACGCTTGTCGCTTTCACCCCGGACTCTTTAGCTGCAAAAAGAAAAAAAGGGAGTGAGCGAGAGAGAAAAAAATGAGAAGGAGGGAGGAGAGAAAAAAAGAGGAAGTATTTTGGCGTTCATCACAAGGCATATAATGCGGCGCAAAAATATATGATAAATTTTTCAATAGACGCGAAGAAAAGTTTCTAGTGTACGTGACTGGAACGCGGGAACCCGATATAATAATAAGCATCCCTGTGTGCTGTTCTCTGCCGGGTCACTAAACTTTCTGAAGACAAATATACTGAGTAAAAGAGGGGAAAGGGAGAAAAGTAAAAACAGCAACGGGTAAAAAGATGTCAGAAAAAAAGATTGCAATTCTTATATGATGTTCTCTTTTCGCATTAAACTTATATTATCGCGCGCTAAAACCACAAAAAATCCCACATAACAAAAATAGATTAGATAGTCGAAAAACTGTTGAAAAAACCTAGAGTTAAATGGAAATACAGACGAATTATTCTTTTCCATGCAGAAATAGTAGCAGATATATTTTGATACATATATATAGTGAACATGCTTAAATCAAAACTGACAAATTAATTAAATGAAATATGCGCATTAATAGTCTAATTAGATATAAACTATTTATAACATTATAACATGAGAGAGAGGACAATAATCTTTCTTCGTATCTTGTACAAAACGTTTTATCTTTATGAAAGATATTAAAAGGATATTGCATATATATATAATGGATTTCTTTTTTTATTCAAGAGAATGTTAAAATATTTAAAAAAAATATAGTAGTTTTTATTTTCTAACTCATTTGCATATTATATTTTTTATATTTTCTAGATATATAGATTTTTATATGATTTAAATAATCTAAACTTTAATTTTTATGATGAATATAAATATGAATGTTATGTAAAAAAAAAAAATTAAAACTACAAAAAATACGATCAATTATCTTAATACCAGTAAGATTAATAAGAATAAAAATAATTATTTAATACATTTCACGAATATCAGATACCAAGTTTTTTTTTTTTTTTTGAGGAAATTAGAAAATCTTACGCAGATTTTTACGCAGATTTTATTCATTTATTCATCGTGCATTGTAATAGTGACAAATACTACAAAGATATGGAAACAAATGGCGAGTCTTCGAGTTCTGTACGAATTTTACGGTCGCGATTTTAGGAGCTCGTTAACCGTTGAGAGAAAACTTATCACGCGCGCGCGCGCCGAAGAAGGGTGGTTGCAAAGTAAAGGGAGTTTAAAGAACGATTGCAAACCAACGCGAGGGCCAAACGACTCTGCGGAACGAACAAGACGACGTGGAGCAGATAGCAATGGCGACCGTATAAGAACGATCGTGCACGCTCCCGAATAAAATCGCAGATAGCAAACCCGTGTGCCCCGGGGGGGCGCCGATAACGCATATAAATGTTACCTGGTCATTTCCTTTAGCCATCGAACCTTCACGATCCCACGGTTAGACCACGGTTAGAAATCAGACAATACCGATGCATCTACGCACGGAAATTGTAAAGGAAAATTAGATAAAATGATTCGATAGAGCAAAACAGGATATCAAGCTTATTTGATTAGATTGTACTGCGAAGAACTTGTGAATTTTGTTTTCTAGACTGAAAAGAGATTTGCAATGCTTAGATCGATACAATCTCGAATCATTGCATCTCAAAAAGGAACATGAAATGAGCTCCGTCTTATCTTGATAGAAGTAACGTGTATGAAAAATATCCTTAAATAAATTTTTGGTATGCGTTATTTTTATATCATTTATTGAGCGTGAAATTAATTTGCTAAACTTTGCTTAAGTCGCGGATTTTAACCTTTAAAGAGATGTATTAAGGAAGAAGGCTGTCTGACGTATGTCATCCACGTGTCTGCTTCAGGGTTACCATAGTAAAGAAACAATGGTGCTTGCTCACCATAACATTATTAAAAAATCTTATCTCAGCGTAGTATCTTGACGCAGAAACACTGTCAAAATGTATGTTGCGAAATTCTGACCTCGTGCACAGCAAAATGTTAGATTAAATCGCGACGCGCGGAACAGTATGTAAATCATGTACCCCACAATTATGTACCATATACGAAGCGCACAAGGTAAGCCCTTAATGCGGCGTAGAAATAATAAAGGGACGGGCAAACACGCTGGTAAACGCGCGATGGAAGATGTTGCAGGTGCAACTCGTGAATCTAAACATGACCCGTAAAGTCCGCGCGCTCGCGCTTCCTTGTTTTTCCATAAATCATTCCTCGCGCGCGGATTCGACGTATCACCGCCGTCGACTACAGGCGGGCACGTTAACCGCACTCACACTCGCACTCGCCCCGAGAATCGATCGACCTACAATAGCGGCGAACACGAACGTCCGGCGCTCAGACATCGGGGGAGGAAATGCGCGCTTTTGTCGTCGCCAGTAAAAAGGGGCGCACGCGCGTTCGTCGCGCGAGTACGGTACCGTGGAGAATTTACAAAATTGAACCGCCCGCTAAATTTACCATCGACGTGAATTCTAATCCGTAATATCACAACCTCACGACCTTCGCTTACCGGTAAAGCACGGTGCAAAGAGTTGATTTAAAACGAAAAGAGCCGAGGGATAGAAAAGTTCGATCGAGCAGATTACGTTGAGAAACTACTTCGATCCGGGAGTCTCGCGGGAGATATCTCAAAAGCGCACAAAATTTCGGGATTGCTTGGTGTGCTTTGTATCAATGCCCCAAGTCTTACAGTTTCGACAAAAAAGAATCTTACTCACGACAAGCAACAATATTGTCAAATTGAACATGCGCTTTTCGTTGGAGTAAATGGATGTAGCAAGAAACCGGCAAAAGGGTGATTCTTTATGGCTAATTTAGAGAAACGTCAAAGAGTTCGAAAAAGTCCATCTTCGCGGAGCATCATTAAGCATTTTTGTTCTCTCGTACTTACCCTTGGATTACAGCCATAAAAAAGGTTCATCAACGACAACGAAGCATGAAAAATGGTTTTTCGCGTGAGTGGAGGAAAGCCTTATAATTTCACCGAAGCAGACAAGAATGACGCGTAGACCAACACGCTAGAGAGCTTCCATATAATTTGCTACCTTTTCATTTTTTTCCCAAGATGGTTTTTTTTAGATGACGAGCGCAAGATTTAATTTATAATGAGCAGAAATTTTGTCGCGCTGACGGAATACAATTTTCCACGTAATTACAAAAAGTACAGATCTCCTCCAAATATTTTCCTTTACTCTTATCTTCTATCAAGTTTAATTGTCCTAATTTTGCAACTTTCATATTTTTCAATAAACATTATTTTTAAGCAAATTACTTTGCATCGTTATCGTAAATAACAATATCGTATAAACAAATGCTCCCATATGCATTGTAAACAAGTAAAAATGGAATTACTTCTTCTTTTGCTCATCACGTTAACTTGTCTCGTTGATTAATCTTTTCTTTAACTTTATTTTTGGCGTTTATTTCTCTCGAGTAATCACCTCTATGTATCGTTTAGTCCGCTCTGCCGTCTAGCAACGATTCTTTTTGTCTCGGGACTTCGAGCATTGCAACGGCGCGCCATTTCCACCCGGAGATCGATAATCGAGACTTCTTGTGGGAACGGGTCTAGAACAAGGAGGTGAGATGAAATTATTCCGAGCCTCGGAGTCGAAAGTCTCCCGGGATACCCGCCGGCGAATTTCATATTTTTACTTCTTATAGATGCCGGGCGTCGAAGTCTTCCAGAGGACCCTTCCGTGCCCAATCTTCTCGTAAAGAGAACCCTTCGCCCCATTGCCCTCGTAAAGACCGCACCTAGGGGTGAAAAATAATCAGAGAAGCCCGATAGAGCCGTAACTGCTTCTGATTTATATAAGCGTATATCTTCTTAAAGCGGAACGTGTCTACGTTTACAAATAGGGTAAATCGGATAATTTTCTGATATAGATTATTAGCGTTATCATTAGGGTGAGATAATTGCGCGCATTAATAATATTTCTGTAAAAATGACAATTTATTTTCTACTGGGAAAAAGCAAAATGCGTGTATGTGCGTGTGTGTGTGTGTGTTTGGTGTTGTTAATAATATTATTCGTAGCTATTTGAGAAAAACAAGTTAAGAGACTTGATTGATAATTATTGGTGTAAAACGACAAAACCGCTAAGAAAGAAACCGATGGAGATACATTTAAAATGGAGTAGCTCGGAAGAGGATCCAAAAGTAATTTATTTCCATGCATAAAAAGAAAAATGGGACAAAGACAACAAGAAACAGTAGACAATAAGGCAAACAGTTAAAAGGAAGGAGATGGATGTGTAATAGGAACGAGAAGAATGCGTGCAAAGGGGTAAGCAGATAGAGAACGAGAGACACTTGAGGAAATCGTACTAGAAGCTCGCCAGAGTTTTCATCCCGTTTTGGTACACCACTAGTATTCCGTGAAGAAAGACGACAGCGCAAGAAAAATAAAGGCTTCCTCCTCCTCTCTCGGTACAGAATGCCGCTTCTTGCATCCCACTCCTTGCTGTGAGTCGCGTTTCTTCTTACCACGACTTGCTTTTGCCTCTCGTCCATACCGAGTTCCTCTCTCCGCTCTCTTTCTCGATCTCTCTTCTCGAGAATTATTAAAGGGAAAACAGCCACGAAATCCGTTTTCGACCAAGCGGCAAAGAAGCAGCAGGGGGAAGAGAGATGGCGGCGGTAACTCGCGGATTCTCGTTGCTCGTGGTTCACGCCATCGCTCGCGCCGCGCAGTAGATAAAGATAAATGTCGCAAACGAAAGAAAATTACGTACTACTACGAGTGGCGGCGGGCGCACGACCTGCTGCTCGTGAAATTTTTAAGCCGCCCATAAATATTCTATTCATACTTTTACTCTACCACCCCGGGATATAACCGCGCGCCGGCTAAACGCGCCGGCAGCTGCCTCCGTTCGCGTGCGGGATTCGAAAAATACAACGAACGAAAGCGATTCGTGCAACGGATTTCGGAGCATTCGAGCGTGATCAAAGCCGCGTCAAGCCGAACGGAAACTTTCGGACGGATATATTCCACATATATTGCGCAACGGCTGCCTTCAAATTTCGGAAGTTCGATAGCCGCCAGCACCATTATTACGTACAAATGGAAGTTGGGTCGAATCGCGGCTGGCCTGATTTGCCATGTTTTACACCGTACCTAACGAACTGGACAACAATCGATTTAACGCACGGTTTGCCTAATTGCGTATCGCGATCAAAGCGCGGAGCGCCGAAGTGCGAGACAACGTCGAAAATATGGACATCTTTATGCAATATTATTATCGCGCGCGATTATCATTATCTCGTATGAAGGATTAATAATCTTAATCACTGACATGTGTAATGTACCCTAATCTAAACTGATGCTCAACGTCTTCTTCTTTCGTTAACCGATTATTATTTTAATAGGAAATCATACATTCATTTCAAAAAGAACAAACAAAGTATATATAGTAAAATATATGGAATATTACAAAGAGAAAATGTGGAAAATAAAAAACAAGCTTTTTGCGAGATAAATTCGAGATTTTAGTTTTTTGATATATTCTCACTTGTTAAAGAATAATGTACTTTTAAGTACTACGCAGATGAAAAATTAATCTTTATTTTAATATGT